TGTTTGTCTTCTACATAATTGGACTCTCACAAATATTTTTTAAAAAGATTACTCAAATACAATATGATCTTCAAAAGCTTTATTTAAATGAACTAGTTAAATATAAATTATTTTTTTTCGAAATTACTTTTTTGAAATGGTATTTTAAAGAGCGTTAATTTTTTATTGCAATATCAAACATGCCCTTACTATTTATAGCCATACTTTAAAAAAATTATATAATGTAGTGAAATCATGCATATATGTTATACAACATAAAAAAATTGTCTTACTACCTAATATAAAAAGTATAAATTACATATGACGAAAATCCATTTTTGATAGGTAATTTTATTTTAGTATTTTCTAATTTTGATCAAATAATACAAATTCAATTTTTTTTCAAAAAAAAAAAAGTGACCAATCAAATCCAATCTAAAACCCAAATTATAGGTTCCTAATAATTTCTTACTTTATTTAACTAAAACAAAATAAAAGAGTAAAAGATTATTACCCATCAAATTCGGGTTTTGAATTTGGGTCGGGTATGGTTAATCTTTTTTAATTGATTTTGTATTATTAGATTTTTAAAAAATAGCAAAAAGGAATTATCCATCGAAAGTTGATCTTTTTTATGTTAGTAAAGGCAAAGTTATGTAATTTTCGAATTAAAATTTTTTTCTCTTTTTTCCTAATTACTTGTCTATTTTTTTCTTTTATAATTGTATCTAATTACTTGTCCGTTTTGACAAATCAAAAAAGGATAAATATTTTTTAACTTATTAACCCTCAATTAATTACTTTGAAAAAGATAGCACTTCTTAAAAGTTTTAAATTTTTAATTTATCCACTGCATAATTAATGAGTTAAAAGGTAAATCACAATGTTAATAATTATTTTCTTAATAGGTGTATCAATTAACAAATAGACAAGTAATTAAGAATAAGGGAATATAATTAAATAACTTTGATGAAAAAAACTCATAGTTTAGTTAGCCATCTAAAAAAATCATCCTATTTTTTTCATCATAGATCACGTTTCACTTAAGAACATTAATAACAAGAATTTTTCATTAATGAATATTGATTGCTTACTTTTGTAGTTTATTTCTTGTCTTCGCGAAGGAAGACTTGAATTGAAGAGAAATTATTAATTTTGTACTTACAATTATTGAAAATTTAAAAAAACAACCGTTTACTTAAATAATTGTTATCTTCTGTATTCAGATTAGCAAATCAGAAAAAATCAAGGCTGAAAAGAAAAACATAAAAAATTATCCGAGTTCATAGAAATTATTGTGTCGTTAAAAAATTTAATCTCATCAAGTACCCGAGGTTGCAGATTAATTTCTCCCACGATAAAACGGATTAACCATTAAAGAAATAGCAGTATCTCAAACTTCGATAATTTCAACAAACTCAAAATGACAGCAACGAATCACACACACAGACACGATTGATCGATTTTGTCTTGTAAAAAATGTATACAAGAAAAGGGAAAAATTTGATGCAAAAAAATTAGAGAAAACCTCTCTATTTATAGCCAACAAAGGATAAAGGTCGCAAGTCTTTGAAATCAAGACAACTTTTCACAAAGATCACACTCCTTTGGAAAAGGCACAACCTTTCAGACGGTCATAACCCTTTAGAAAAGACACAGTTTTTCATAAAAGTCACGATCCTTTAAGAGAATCGCAACCCTTCATTTTTTGTTCACACTTTTAGAATCCACCAATAACTAAATTAAAAAATCAAGATTTCTGATCATCAATACATATTGTTATAATCCTGAGTGATCATTTAGTGAGTTCTTAATAGTGTTAGAAAAAATTGACTTCTCTTACACATTAATACTAACAAACTATTAAAAGTTGATAGTAATAGTCTTTTCCTAAATGATGAGAACATTTTTTAAGAAGGTGAAAAAGAGGTTCTCTTAGTTCTAGTAAGAGAATTTTAGAAATATTTATGGGACACACATGTTATTATCAATAATAATTGTATGTTGGTTGTTATGTTATCTCTAGAAGATCGATCAATACTAATAATGATCTTCTAAGGCTTAAAGTTCATTAAATTAATTCTAACTTAATGATGGACTAAACTATGAAATACAACTTGTGTTATAGGAGTAAATATATAAGGTTATGGTCCCAAATCAAACATATGATATCATTTTTAATATTCTATCGTTGGAAAAAATGGAACAACTTACACGCAAGACAAAATATTACTATGAAATTCATTATCTCCGTCTCTTAAAATTTGATCTCAATAATGTATATTTTTTTTTATAATACTCATATTAATTTATGTATATCTTCAATAGATAATATTAACGATATAATAAATAATTACCTACTAAAATAATGTTTATTTCAACTTTTATATTTAATTGCTAATTGGAACTCCCACTCTAATAATTTATTCAAAAATTATCGATTATGTTAATCCTTTTTCAATAAAGGTAAATTAAAATATTTTTAAAAAATCAGCTTTAATTGATGTACTTAATGGTGGAACAATCTAAGTATCTATTATACAAATTATTCTTGTGTATCTTCTTACTTTATTCCACAATTATTGCTTTAATTTTTAAAAGATATAGCTCTGTGTTTTCTTTTGAATCAAAGTATATTCATAGCCATGTATATTTATTTGGTAGGAGCATTTATGAAAATCATTGAGAAAAAATTAAGCCATAATTAAAGGGTATGGTTTAGATATTAAGGCTTTGTGAGAAGATCAAATTAATGTGTCCTTAAAAGTCAATTTTGGTGACAACTGAAAATATAAGCCATTTATTTGAGGACCACAACAAGGTGTGGCAAACTGGATTTCAATCAAATGTGAGTGTAACAAAAAAAAAAAACTATTTTTTGTTATTATTATTATTATTTTTCAAAATAAATATCATTTTCGTAAAAAATATATATTTGTCTCAAAATCGTCACTTAAAAAATTAAGGCAATAACCAATAGTTACTTTCATCTATCTATCTATATATATTTGCATATTTAATTTTTCAAGAAACATTTAATTAATAGAGACAACTTATTTAATATTTTCTCCGTCCTAAAATATAGTATTGCTTTAGTAAATATAACAATTTTTTCAAAATAAGTTTCACTTTAACACTTCAAAGACAACTATGTGTTTCTATTAATTAAAAAATGACTTCTTCTTAATAGTGCTCAATTTTCAATACACATAAAATTTATTTATAATAATTTTAAAAATTAATCATATCAAATTATTATTATTTTAAAAGTTAAAAGACAATCTATTATTTCCATTCTTGAAGCAATTAAAAAGTTCTCAGTCTTTGCCTAATGACTAATGAGGACAAGAAAGTGCCTCAGCACGCAATGGAAATAAATTTAACCAAATTTGAACCACATTTATAATATAAAGAACATATATAAATTGATAATATAAAATTATATTGTAGGTAAATATAAATCGATCTTATAACAGAGTTTCCTTTAATTTAAAAAAATCGATTATTACAATTACTATTTGTTCCAAACAAATAAATACAACACATTCTCTTTAATTAATTGTTACGTCATCGATCATTCTTAATATAACATTTTTAACATGTCAATATTATTATATATTATAAACATTAGTATAGATAAGTATTAGAAAAGAGATATAGCTAGATTCGAATCTAAATCTCGCAAATAAATTTTTTAGCTTATCAGCCACATAATAATGTATATATATAATTTTTTTTTGAAGTCACCAAGTATACGTGCAACACAGGGTCCACTTCTCCCTCCCAGCCACTTATATAAGTTGCTTGAAAATATACTAACAATAATAGTACATTTAATGAAATCTCAAAACTAAGAGAAGTCTTGAAAGAATAGTGTATATACAATGCTATCCTGGTTAAGGAAAAAACAATTTTTGATTAACTCTCAATTTAAAGTAAAAAGCATATCAAAACATGTATAAGAGAATACATTAGCAAAGAAATCATATTGAAAATTGATAGAAATAAAAATAATAACAACAATAAATAATACGATAATCGGAACAATGATGGTAAATAAAAAGTGTGGGGGCAGAAAACCAGCTGGACTGTATTCCCAACAAGAGGAATTGGGGGTATAGTGTATTAATTATTATATGGAAAGGTACTTGCCTATATTTAAATTGGAATTTAATTTTGTTATGTTGTCTTTGTTATTTAAGACAATCAGAATTTAATTTCACCCAATCACGGGATTTCCCACAATTAATAGGCTCTTATTCGTTTCAATTTATGAATCTTTTTTTTTTCCAACCAATAACTAAAAAATAATTTTCAAAGGAAATTAATGAATGAATTAACATGAAAAGGGAACCAACAATAACTTTGATGCAAACAAATTATAAATCAAAAAATCAGTACAAACTTGATTATGAGATTTTTATATGGATACTTAGTAGATATATATTGTTTAGATAATTAGTTTAAAAAATACGTGTCTGTTTGAAGAAATAATTATAAATAATAAAATATGGATGTGACCTGCTAAGTCGGTCTAATCTAGCCTTTTATGTGATGGATATCTTACATAAATGTATACATACAACATTTTATCTTCCTCAACGAAGCAACATTTTTTCATCTCGACTAGCACGAATCTCCTATGAACACAAATTCAAATTTTAAAATAAGTTCCTCTCAGTATTTCAATTCTTTTGACATATTATTCACTTTAAACAATCACGATCGCGACAAGATCTAAAATTTGAGCTTAGAAGCTCTTCAATGGCCATCCAAACTCAAAGCTCCTCTCAAATTTTTTAGATATAAAATTCTGTTGATATTTCGATTTTTTTGATATATTACTCACCCAAAACAATTCACGCAGTTGAACCCACGGCCCTCTCAAAAATTGTATTGGGATAACCATTTAAGGCCCACACAAATATTAGGCTGACCCATTCTAGCCCATCATATTTAAAGGGCCTTATTTATGTGATGGGATTTTCTTCCACATACAAAATCGATTGATTTACAACATATGAAAATAAGTTAGTAACAAGATCCATTTATCATTTTGATTCTACATTTCCCCCCCAAAGCATGTCTCTACATTTTTTGTTTCACATTTCTAGCCCCTTTTTTTGTATTTCTCAATTACATTTACAACATTATGTATCCCTTTTAGGACGATTTACGCGATTTTCTATCCCTCCTTCTCGTTCTCATCAATGCGTTTTCAGAGTTTGATCAACGTCATGAGAATTCTCAAAAAAACTTTGATAGGAAAAATCAAGATTCATTTTTGTTTTTGGTTCTAACATTAAGCCACTTCTATATTTGTTGGTTTGGATTGTTCTTTTACAAATTTAGCCTTGGATTTCGATGCCCTTGATGATGAACTAGATTTTGGTGAGGACTTCCTCCTTCTTTGCTTCTTAACATTAACCTCCTTATTAGTCTGATTGTCCTTGTTAGTCTCAGATGTCGATTGTGCTTCATTTGATTCTCCAACTCCTTTCAAACAAACAACCAATGAAAAAAAAAGTATTGAGTTTTAGCTTTTGGATACTAATAGCTAAAGAGATTCTTATACCATCAAGTCCTTTGAAAACCAATTACATGTAACAATTTATATAAATGGAACTATTAACCTAAAAAATAATACAAGTAACATAAATACAACATGTTGAAATTCAATGAAAGTGTGTGTATATAAGTTAACTTGACTTCCAAGTGAACTAATCAAAAAGCTTGATCAAGATAAGAGCTCATACTATTGGTTAATGGCATTTTGATCTTGACATATATAGTTTATTCAAATTGAGGTCTAATTAAATATCTTGATAAAACATTCAAAGAGGTGCTAAGTACATATAATGTTAATAAGATTAAGTGATTTATTTATTTGCCTTTAATTTTAATAGAAAAAATTACTCAATATTTGTATTGTATTATAAGATGCCACATAAAATAATTACTACTTTAGAGGGCACCACATAAAATAAGCCAATATATAGCCTACCATCCAATAATTTGATTTTGGACAATAGAAAAATTGTCCCTTTCTAGGGCCTATTTAGACATCTCGTGAAGGATGGGCCAAAATATTTCCCCGTCTTGAGGAAAAGTATATAGAAATTACGTTTATTAAGAAATCAATATATATAATGTGTAGTTTACTAAATTATGTCTATTTAATAAATGTTTTTTAAATATTCAACACTATTAATAAAGTTTGAAAATTTATAGTACTAATTTTTTATCTTTGAATTTCTAAGGTGGTGCTTATTTTGGAACAAATTTTTTTAAGGTGACATTATTTTTGAGACGTACAAAATATATTATCATATTTTTTTTTCTCAAATTAACTAAAAAGGAAAAAATATCACCGGTTGAATTTGTATATTTCTCCCAACAATAATACAAACATAAAATAGGACAACATCTAGACCAGTGTGGAAACCCTAGTTGCCATTGTCTGATTAGGACACTACACATGTGATTGAAGCCAACATATCAAATATTCTGTTTAATCTTTAAGTTTTGTTTTAAGGCACATTTTGATCAATAATTAAGGGGAAAAAAACATTTTCTTAATAGCAATGATTACCTTGAGAAGTCCATGGAGAAGGGGAAGAACCAGAATTAATACCAATAGAAGCTGCTGCAAAATCAGGCCCTTTCTTGAATTGATTCATCTAAAATAACAATTTGTTAGGCATGGCAAAACTTTGTTAAAGAAAATAAATATCAGATTAGCTCAATCGTAAAAGCTAGCTTTACGCGTGTGTTCTTCAATATCAATTATCTAAAACTATATAAAGGATTAATTATTTTTTCCCTCAACAAACATGTATAGGACACTAAACAAAGGTTTAGTACAAAATGATGAATTTGTGGACCAAATTAACATGACTGAGAAAATGAGAACATACCCAACTTGGTGCATTGCCAGATTGGCCATCCCAACCAATATGTGCCACATGTTTAACATCAGTTGGACATCCAATTTCCAACTCCCTCTCCTTCACAGCTACAAATCAATTTTCACCATCATCATACATGTCTCTACTTTATTCGAATTGTTAAAAAATGTTATTAAATACGTGTTAAATCAAATCGTATTGTACATTTAAAAAATCCTATACGTGTTCGATAACAATTTGAAAAGCTTACGCAACATAAACCTCAAAAGATAAAATCTTTAGGCAATACCAAAATTATTAAACATATATTTGAATCCTTTGATGATCCCCTTCATCTTGTTTCCCATGGAAGAAACTACAAAATCCAAGTCAAAAAACCTGTGGTCATAAAATGTCAATAAATCATTCCCTAGCCTAACCTAAAAGGCAAACACATGGAAAATATTATAAAAATGATACAATTAAAAAAAAATAGAAGAAAAAAAGAAAGGTTTCAATCATTCCCTTGCCTAACCAAGAACATGTTCAATTGAACCTTTATTCCAAAAGTCAAATTCTGAATCTGTCTCTGAATTCTGAATAATAGTATAGTACCTTATTAAAGCGACGGTGATACCATACACGAAAATGTGAAAGAAAAAAAGAAAGCTAATTCTCCTTCCCTTGGCCTTGCATTTTCCATTACCTTCTTCCTAATGATTTTGATATATAAATGTGATAAGCATTCATGAAGAAAAAAGAAAAATCAAACTAGTTGATCCATTAAATATAAATAAATAAATAAACAAAATGTCAGAGTTGAATGAAAACAATTAATGGTGTTATTTTCTATTGTTGAATGGATAGTTTTGTATAGATATTCAAAGGAGGGAGATAGAGAGGAGGAAAAGAAAGAGATAAAGAAAAAGAAAAAGAGAAATGAGAGATGTGGCCAACCACTAAAAAAGAAAGGTTGGGAGGTAAACTTTACAAAGAACATTTAAATACAAAACTAATGTTTTAGAAATATTCCTCTCCATAAATTTTATATTGTGTTGTTTTTTTAATAATCCCACTTATGACTTTTTTTGACACTCCCATATGCCATTTTTTAAAAAGGAAAATATACCTCTAATACCTTTTGTTAGAAAGCAAACAATCCATATATATATATACCTTCTTGTTTTACAAATGATGTAAATAATATCATGTAACTTAAAAAAACTATCCCATTCATTTTATATATTTATCGTTTATTATGATTTGAAAGATTATAATATAGTAAATTTAGTACTTAGATAATATTCGGATTGGGGTTCAAGAGTGTTGACGATTAAACTAATTTTTGAAGAACTTATCATGAATATAATTAATGGTATTAATATATATGGTGATTTTGTCTGTTCGAGATACAAATGAAGGAAGAGCTACTAATTCAATTTTTTTGAAGAATGAAAATTGGCGATTAACTAAAATAAGTTTTTCAAAGAATAAAGATTGACGATATCTAACTAATTTAATTTTTCGAAAAATGAAAATTATCATGAATAAAATTGACAGCTGTGGGATTTGAACCCACGCCCTTTCGGACCAGAGCCTAAATCTGGCGCCTTAGACCACTCGGCCAAACTGTCTTTTTGTTATCAAAACATTTCATGTTGTAATTAGTACTTATATTTCTAATAATCTGTATAATAGAAATTTCCAAATCTATTAATCAAATTATAAAAGAGATTCTTCTGGGACAAAATCGAAAAGGAACATATTTAAACAAAACATAATTATGAAGGCAAATATAATCCCCAAAGACAATAATAGACGCGGCTAAAAAATATGACAAGGATAAATATGAATAATATTTTAAAATTGAGGGGAAAATATGAATAAATTAATGAGTAATTATTTACCTTAGCAAAATCCAGTTGTTAAATCGAGAAGTTTATATTATAAAAACTAAACACTAATCTAATGCAGTCATGTTCATTTAAAGAAGGCATCTTAGTGCTGACTTTCTTACAACTTGTCATTTATTTTTTCTAATTTTTCTTTTTTATAAACGAGTGAACATATTACTCCATTCATTCGTTTCAATTTATTTCTTTTATTTTTCGCTTTATTTTACTTTAAAAAATTATTTTTTTAGTTCTAACTTTATATTTAAAATATTTAAAATTGTAAAATTAAATAATATTTTAATATGTTATATAATCTTTTTAAAATTTGTATCTATTAAAAATTATACAAACAAAATAAAGTGTGGAGTACTTAACTCCTCTTATCAAGTTATGTTGCATTCCTTCCTTTTTAATCTATTTCTAAAGGAATGCTACCTTTTCTAATTCGAAACAACTTTTTTTATTTTTTTTTATATTTAGCAAAATGTTTTATAACCACAAATAACTCTAATTTATTTTTAAATTACAAAATTTTAAATGTTACATCAATAATATCACATATTTAACCATCTTTGTTTTATAAGGGCCAGAATCTTACTTATTCGAAATTATTTTTTTTTAAAGAAGGAATGTTGCTTCTCGTCATATAAGCTTACAAAAATAAATATAAAAGACAATCATAAATATCAAATATAGTAACATGAGTCTTAAGCATTAAAAAACAACCTTTGGTTTATTAAAGATGTTAAACAAACATAAAATATTTTATTTCCACACTTTGCCATTAATATGAGTGAAAAGGACCATTTATTAGCCAAGAATCCTCAGTTATAATTACTCTTCCAAGAAGAATTTCAATTGAAGAAAACAAAAAAGGAGAAAAAAAATTGTTCAATGGCTAATCTCCTCTTAATTGGAGTTGTAATTGCTATGCTATGCTCTGAAATTAAATGTTCATTTGAAGACAACTTTAGTAAAAGTGATTGTCCTGACTCTCACTTCAAGACTTCTGAAGATGGACAGATCTGGTACCTATCATTAGATAACAAAGCAGGTAAGTACGTTACGTACAGTCAAATTTCTTTATAACAACATACGTTATTTGTCTAGATAGATATGTTATGAAAAAACATATAGTGCTTATTATTTTTTCATTTATTTTTGACATTTGAAACCATAAAGTACTTTTTCTTCTTATAGGTTGTGGATTTATGACCAGACAGAGATATAGATTTGGTTGGTTTAGCATGAAATTGAAATTGGTAGGAGGTGACTCAGCTGGTGTTGTTACAGCTTATTATGTAAGTTGCGACATTTTGAATATATATGTCATGCATAACTTAATTTAGTTATATATATACATTGATCATATAAAAAAATTTCTTGTGATTAATCTATTTTTGAAGTTCCTTACTATCTCAAGTTTCAACTACAAGAATTTAGTCTACCTAAATTTTTAGGTGTTAGGACTCATAAAATTTATATCTTAAATTCGTCAGATGTGCACAGAAGATGGGGCAGGGCCAACTAGAGATGAGCTAGACTTTGAGTTCTTGGGGAATAGGACAGGGGAACCATATCTTATTCAGACAAATGTGTATAAAAATGGTACTGGTGGGCGTGAGATGAGGCATGTTTTATGGTTTGACCCTACTCAAGACTTCCATACATATTCCATTCTTTGGAATTCTCATCAAATTGTGTAAGCATCTCTTTCGATTTTAAATTTGAATTAGTTTGATCAGTAGCAGAGTCTGTAATTTTACATATATAATTCAAAGTATTAAGAATGAACACATAAAAAGTCGAGAGGATTCAACATCTAATATGTTTATCTAAAAAGTAATTTTAACATTACATTATAAAATATATATTTTGGGGGAATGAGGTTTAGATGAACCACTTGCACTCATGTGACTTCAACTTGTAACAAATTTCAATGCGAGTATCAGACATGTAGATACGGAGATTCCACTTTTAAAACATTTCATGGTTGTACTTAATTTATTAGGGTAGAGATCTGTTTTTATAAGTCAAATGAATAAATAATACTATTACACCTAGTACTACCTTCTTAGAAATTGGGGTGCACTGGTAAAAATATTATAACTTTTAAATTAGTCAACTCTTAACTTTCAAGCAAAAGGAAATAGATTTAAATGTATAAATGTCAGCCATTTCAATTTGTCACTCTTATTTTTCTTTTTACTCCATTTTAAAAAAGATTTTTTTTTCTTCACATTCCGACTTTTCACCTGATATATTTACGATCATAAATCAGATTAAAGGTTATTTTGATGCATTCTGTTCATCTTTGTATGTATTTATTTGTTGTATGTGCAGATTTTTCGTAGATAAGGTTCCAATAAGAGTATACAGAAACGCGAATTACACGAACAATTTCTTCCCTAACGAGAAGCCAATGTACTTATTTTCGAGCATATGGAACGCGGATGATTGGGCTACTCGGGGCGGGTTAGAGAAAACAGACTGGAAAAATGCACCATTTGTATCAACATATATGGATTTCAATGTTGATGCTTGTCAATGGGAAGATCCTTTCCCTTCTTGTGTTTCAACAACTACTCAAAATTGGTGGGATCAATATAATTCTTGGCACCTTTCAAGTGATCAAAAATTGGACTATGCTTGGGTGCAAAGAAATTTAGTCACTTATGATTATTGCCAAGATATTGAGAGATATAAAGTAAAGCCTGAGGAATGTTGGGTAAGTCCATGGGATTAATTACTATTTCAATTTTGATTTAAGAGTGTGTAGATGTTGCATTGTTTTGTCATGTGTTAAAAATCATGAATTCAATTTTATAATAGGGTTACCCTAATAGCTAAGGATTTCAAATATATGCGAATGACTTTTCATTTTGAGTTTAAATCAATCTTCAGACTCTCAAATTACACATATCTAGAAGTCGAGACAAATTTCCCAATTTTATACTTCAAAAATCAATGATTTGTGGTTAAAAATCTAATAGCTACTAGATTCATAATGGAATAATCGGTCTTCAGAATCGATGATTTAAGGCTCTTGGCCTTTTTAACTATTTAATTAAAGTTGTAACATAATGGAAATGATCTCTTATGATCACTTACAATTGAACAGAAGAAATGACATTTTTAGATCTCTTACTTGTAAAATTAAATATATCTCATAAAAAAAACAATAAAACTAAAAATAAATTTATAACGGCTACAAAACCAAATCTCCCGTAATTTAACTTGTGTGTGTTTAGTTGGTTGATAGAAGAAACCTAGGAAGACCTATTTTATAACCAAAACTGTTGACATCCTCTTGGACTTGTTGTCTGAATTCTCTAAATGTAAATTTTTTATAAAGACAAGGTTCAACACAACTAAGTATTTCTGTGTCATAAGAGGGACATAAGAAAAATGCTGTTGAAAATCTCTCTTTAAATTTATTTGTCACAACTCTATGTTCAACACTTCTATAAACACCATTGCTCCATGCCTGCATCATATGACACTTTTTTCATTAATTTCTAAAAAAATAAGAGAACATATTCAATCCCATAAAAGTTATAAACACTTAAGCACTTTTATTGTTTCAATTTATGTGACAGTATCTGACCGAAAATATAATTAAGAGAGTCAATAGTCAAAAACAAACTTTCGAAATTTTTGTGGCTATAAATAATCACATTTAGAGCAAAATAAGAAGTCAACCTCGTTTGCGCAAATATTTTTTTGGCTGTTATAGCAAAATATTGTTATGGCGAAGATATATAGTATAAGCTAACATGAAAAAAAAGTGTTTACAAATGAAATTAGATGATTACAGTGAAATGTTATTATAGAGGATATAGTATAGGAAAACGATCGAAATACCTGGAATAAATCTCCAATATTAATGATAAGTGCTTCAGGATTAGGCTTAACAGATATCCATTTGCCATCACTAAATAATTGCAAGCCTCCAATCTCATCTTGATGCAATATTGTGAGGAAGTCACTATCAGTATGTGGCATTAATCCAAAGAGTTGTGGTGAAATAGGGCATGCTGGATATCTATTCATTCTTAGGTAACAAGTACTTGACAAACATGTTTCTTTAAAATAATCCAACTTATAATTATAATAATCTCCCAATTCTTCTGCTAATAATCTTGCTAATTCTTGTGCTAATTCAGATAATGTTGTTGCAAATTCTTCCATGGTAAAGCTGAATTCATCCAAAAAAATAAAATAAAAAAGTTAAACCAATTATCAGATCATTCAAAAAATATATATACGGGTAACTACCTTTTTAAAATGTAAAAATGTTACATGTTATTAGCGGTGCAGCATTGTTTGGTTATTGGGATGATAAACAACGAATTGAAATGTGTCATAGAGATTATCTATCCTATATGAAATAGTCAATTCTATTATTTTAATACAAAGAAGTTTCCAAAAATTCTTATTCGTTATAAAATAGCCAATTAATATTTTATGAGATTATTTATCTTATCTTTATATAAAATAACCGATCCTATTTTTTCTTATCCCATTGATGTCTAAAATCATTATTTCTTATATCATTGACGTCCAAACAACCTCATAGTCTATATGAAATAGCCAATTCTATTATTTTAATTAGGAATAATTTTCAAAAATTGTTACTCTTTTCTTATTCAGTCGACGTTCAAATAATCTGTCATAAGATAATTTATCCTATCTTCTATATGAAATAGCCAATTCTATTATTTTTAATATATAATATTTTTCAAAAATTATTATTCCTTATCTCATCGATGATCAAACAACCTCATTAATATTAGGTAAGGGTGGTCCAGGGTTAACTTTTTACATTTTTGTTTTAGGTTGACTGCCCTTGTCCAAACTCCAAAGTCATGAGGATAAGGATTAAGACATCTCCTCCTAAAGAAATGCCAAATGCATGAAACACACATTATTTTTTCCTAAAATTAATACACTTTTTCACTTTTTAGGACACTCATCTCACTAAAAAGTACTGGATCATCAAATAAACAACCCCACAAGTCACAAAAAATGAACCATCATTATCAACAAGCCTGTCAATTTATCATATATTTCCACTTCTATGCGTAGATATTGAAATTTTGTGGAACTCTAGAAGATGCGTTCAATTCGAGTTGAGACTCTACAAATTGTGTTCAATTCAAACTATGATTCTTGGAGGCTACTCAACCCTAAACCCTAGTTTATGCCTATATAAAGGGTATTAAATTCTCTTAAAAGGCAACTTGAAAATTCCATAAAGAGATCAAGATCTTGAATACTCCACAAATTAATGGTTGAGACGGTCCTCGAATCATGAGATCAACAGAATTGTACCCCAATCTATCTTGATTAATAAAATCATGTTTCTTCATATTTTATTTGTATAATTTATTTATTTTCCATATGTTTAAAATTTATTGCAAACGGAATAATAGCTTCTTGCCTAATAAGGACTAGCCGTCGGCAGCGCTCAAAAACGTGTATTATATCAACAAGAATTATAATGAAACTTCATTTTTAAACAGATATTTTGAGTTCGAGTTCTCCTAGATACATACTCACATATGTTAGGAAATGTTTACTCCTATTTCGAGGGAAATATAAATTTTTATCGACCTTCAAATAGAATAACAGAAATTGAATGAAAAATAAAAAAGGAGGCATAAGATCAGTATTTAGTCAACCCTTCAGAACTATTCAATATTTAGTTGCATTTTTAACCTAAAAGAGAAAAATAATTTTTTCTTAACTATAACATAATTTAACTTAAATCCATAAATTTTACTATGACACTTTTGTTTTCTCTCCAAGAGAAGGACAAAAAGGAAGACTAGATGACGAAGATATAACAATATCTTAGTTCGTCACATCGCTAAAATATATAAAAGAAAAAATTCAAAAAAAATTCATTATAATATAATTTAATTTAACTTTAAGTCATAAATTTTACTGAGACATGTCTGTTTTTTCTCCTTTTCTAGTGCATCGAAGAAAAAGAAGACCATATGACAAATATATTAATTAATCATAAATAAAAACATACATATAACTAAAATATGTACCTGAGGCTGCTGAAACCCTTTGAAACATCTGAGAGAGGTACATGAAAAGCTTCCGACCATGAAATCTGCCGAAGGCAAGTCGCCGTTGGCGTTCCCCAACGGTAACTTCCTTCGGAGAAATTAAGACTTTTATCAATATTTATCTTTTCATTGAACGTTTTCTTGAAAAGCTTGACTTGCTCCGTCCTCATTTGTCCCAAAATATTAGGTGAAACTCCATGGTTCACCACTTGGAAAAAACCCCATTCTCGCGATGCCTTGGCTATCTTCTTCTTGCATTCTTCTCTCTCGAATTTGTTTCCATAGTTAAGTTGATGAAGATTTATCAAAGGCAACTCGCATTCTTCCACCATGAATAGGTCAATGTGTTCATCATCGACTATATTGGTATCAATAAGATTTTTGTATGTCTCCACAAATGGAGGATCAGGTGATTCTTCCATGCTTATGGTCTGAAAAGAAATGTGGTGTCAGATAACATCACATGAAATTCACCAGAAAAATGTAGAATATATATAGCATTTTTTGTGGTGCCTCTCTTGTCTACTTTCGCTTGAAAATTACATTATATAGCTAAGGGAAAAAAAAAGTAAAGTAAATGTTTATGTATACATACATTGAATTGGCTTTTTGATTTACGCGTGTCATTCTTTTGCAGGGATAATGTTTCTTTGTACCGTTCAAATTTTATAGGATGTCCATGTAGGGTATATGTATGCATATATACTAATTTTTGTGTTCTGATTTAAGTGTCTTATTTTTTTTACAAGTTTATTTCAAAGTGAATATGTATTTCTATATTTGGTAACTTCTATCTAGTATTCTACATAAATTGTTTAAGATTATAAGAATAAAATGATATTTTGATTAATTACACAAGTTTTTAATCTAAGATTATTATTATATTCAAAAGTCTTTCTAATTTTTTTACTACACATTTAATCGAATCTGAACTCTACTTAAGGCTTATTTAAAAATTTGTAATTGGCACCTATACTTGTTTTCGAAATATGACCAAAATTATGTTGTAGAATATGGTGATATATCATTTGAGTATATTAGGAAGAAAAGAGAATCAAACACTATGTTTCTTGAATTTGTGATATTATGTTTTTTGGTCAGGACAATTTAAATGGCATTTGGACATAAAGAAATATGTGTGTCCTATAATTAGGAGGGAGGTGGTGAAGGAGCAAAAGAGCCTTGTGCACCCAAACAACGACAATTGGGGTCCCATTGGCATTTAAAAATTGAAATATTGCATGTGTATTTAATTGGTCAAAGATCCTAAGGTCGATAATTAGACAAATGCGTGTAAAATCAGGATTTGAACTTCATAGAGTTAAGATTTTAATTTTTTAAATTAATTATTTCATAGATATTTTGAGACATTCCAATCAAAGGTTGGATCGAATCGATATAAATCTAGCTCCATACGAATTTAGAGTGTTATATACATTCTATTGTAAAAAAATTATATTATATATTTACTTAAAAAGAGATTTTTTGTTTGCGTATGTTATTATACATTAATTTTACTTAGATTTTTTTTTAATTTACTATTTCATATTTTGATATATTTTAATAAAAATTCTAACTTCGAGATTTTTTTTATTTTTTTATATTTTTATGATTCTCCATCACAAATCATGGTACACATGCTCTATCAAAGTTGACAGCCTCCAGCCTCCAGCCTCGTTTATTTTATTAATTAAAAATAATGTTCATGTTCCCTTTTCATTTGGGGAAGGGGTTGGGTGGGGTGTATAATACAAAGATTCATTTTTGTTGAATGTTAGTTTTTCAAATAATAAAATCAATTATCCCTCCAAAATATTTTATCATAATTCCGATTTGCATGTGTTTTAAAAATTACATAAAAAAACACTATTAACATATATAGTTAATAATTCAGCATATGAGAAAGTTATTAATCAATATCTTTATTATATAAAATGAAACGAAGGAAGTATAAAGTTTGATACACATAAATATAAAAGTAATTATATTTTCTAAAAGTTTAAGCTAGTATAGTAAAAACGCTTTATATTTACTTAATTGTTCTTCAACACTAGCTACTAGCTAGAGTTAGCATATTATCCAAATTTTGTAACGAAGTGTTGTAGTATAATTAAAAATAACCACTTTCTCTATTAATAGTTTAACCTTATAGATCAGATGGTCACACACTAAAATTCAAAACACTAATTTCATATAACATCAATATCGATAACTTAAAACTATTCTAATTAATTTGCAAAGATTTTTTTCTTACTTGGTTTGCTTGTAGAGGTACGCTTGAAGACTTGGTCATAGAGCTTACACTTAATTTGCCTGTGTTACTAAAGAAGCAATCCACATAAAAATATCATCAATAATAAATAATACGCTATAATTCAAATGAAAAAAAACAAAAACTAAATAATAATACTAGTGTGCATGGCTACGCCAAAAACAATATTACTATTTAAGTAGTGTTGCTTCCCAAACTTTAAAATTTTGCATTTGCCTGTAAATATGATATTCTTTATAACACTCACATTAAAATGATTTTTTAGAACGTAAAAGAATTCGAACCTCAAGATGAATAAAGACATAAATAACTAAATAAAAATATGTTCTACTTACCAAATCAACAAATACTACATGAAAAATAAAACCAAAATAATTAAAAAAAAGGAAAAGAAAAAGGGTAACTTACATGGAGAATAAACTAAGCTTCTTAGGCAGTCGATTGTTTTGTAATGCAGAAAAAGATAATATTTATAGGGAAAGGAAACAACTTGTAGGGAAAAAAAATAGTTAAATGTGGTTAGGCGAATTAAGAATTTAAAATTTTTAAAATTTTAAGTCGTGATAAGAGAAGTAACTAATTTTGAGATTAGTTTTAGAAAGAATTTATTTTATGTTTGGTTATCAAAATTACGTGAAACTTATTTCAGAATTATAATGTTATGTTCATTCACGTTAGGGGTGATAACAATTCTGAAATAATTAGTTTCGAGATAACTTATTTTCAACTATACAAGTTTTAAGTGCAACTAATTCATGAAATCTTAATGTACGATTATTTTTTTGTATATTGATAAATTTTTATGTATAAATAAATTTGAATCGAAATTAGTGAGTTCTATTTACGAATCTAAACACAGGATGATATTAATATTATTATTTGAGTGTGTATAGCAGAAGAAAACGTGTCTCATTAACAAATCAGAGAAATTCTTCTGCCTTTTATGGCAAATATCTTTTTTCCTTTGATGTTACCTTTTTTTGCTATATGTTTATTGGTGTAGTTCGAAAGAGTGATCTTTTAAGGATGTGTTTAATAGAAAGAAAGATATTTTTTATGAATAATATATTTTAAAAAAAAGTTGATTTTTTTTTTTATTTTAGTATTTGTTGTAAGTAAGAAAATATTATTATATTTATTTATAATTTATCAAAACATTAGGGGAGTAAGAGGGAAAGTGGACTTGGGCTTGGTAATTTGATTAGTTAGGGAGGAGGTAATGAATTTTTATTTATTTTTCATTCGATGTTAAGTATTTATATTGTGTAAAATTTTATTCGAGGAAAACATTTTCTATTATTAATTTTTTTTGTATTCAGGTTTTGAACTCAAAATCTCAGATCAAGAAAGAACTAGCCCACGTCGCTACACCACATCCATCGGTGGTGAAGATAATGAATTTGAATCATATAAAATTCGTTATACCATGCTTTCATTAGAGAAATTATTTATCTCATTTTGAAGAATTTATTTTTTAACAGAATATATATTTTTTCTTTTTTCGTTAAAAAAATTATTTATCTCGTTTTAAAAAACTTTCTTCTCAAAAAAAATAAACATTTCGAAAAATTTTGACCAATCAAATATACGAAATTGAAAAATATTTTTTTCAATAGCTAATACACCCTTAATTTCATTGGCTAGGTGAGTGAGAAAAAGTAGTGGTTTGAATTTTTATTTTTTTGGGGGGGATAATTAAATTTAGTTTAATTTTTTCTTTTTTCCTAATTGAAGTATTTATATTACGCAAGATTTGGTGTCATTTCTAATAGCATATTATTCAACCAATAATGGTTGTTGAAAACCTAACTTAATTTTCAATCACAAACTTAATATTGTTTCATTTGGCTCTCATTCTTCCAAGTCTTGCCTCCCTCCATCATTCAATATATTTCATCTATTAAATTTCTTTTTCCTCTTCTCCAAATTCTTATAGTATGAATTTTGACAAATACTTGGACATACATTTTTTAATCGATTATATTGAAATATATTTTTATAAATCTTGAATATTGAGTTGATCTAATTTGATTTAATTTAAAAATTTAATACATAATACATGTTAAATTTTTTTTGTATATTTATTTTTTTCAATATTTTTTATTAAAAAATTCTGACTCCGCGACTGTGTCAAGAAAAACAAGACACATGATAAATTTCTCGACCGGTCCCAAACAAGAAAAAACATGGGGAATTATTTATAAAACAAAGTCTCATATTTCGTCTAGACTCCACGTCTACACTATTGAAACAAAGGAAATTTTTTTGCAGGCTGAGAATTTAAAAACTTCCATGTGCAATGCTTTGATGCAGGACACAAGCTACTGATGATGGATACTTATTATTTTTTGTACCATACCCTTGGCTTCATTTTATGATATA